CGGCAAGCCGCGGCGCTGGCTACTCGCTGGGACCCCGCGCCCCCAGCCCCAGGGCCGGGTACGCGGCGTGCTGTCCCGGAGGGGTCTCGGCTGCGCGACCCCCGCGCCCTCGCCCCGGCCGAGGGGGACGGCCGAGGGGGACGGGAGGGCAGGGCGGACGCCGCGAGCGCAGCTGAGCTCGGCCGAACCGGCGCTCCCAGCCTGGCGGCCGCAGTCGCGTCTGCCTCTTTGGCGCTAGAGGGGGATAGTCGACAAGGAAAGGCCTCGGCGCCTCCGGGTGGAAGCGGTTAATCAGGCTGGGAACCTAGGGAAGGAGGACGGCTCTCGGGTTAAACTCAGCGTCTGTTACGGGCGCGCTGAGGAATGTGTCGCTGGTGGGGTTCTGCACGGCTGTGTGTGTTATAGCGGTATCTTTTTCCTTCCTGGGGGGACTTAGCTATCGTGGTCGAGTAGGATTGATAAACGCACCTTAAAACTCATCAGATTTCTTTGAAGAAAAGTCGATGGCAATGGAAAAAGTGAACCGAGACAAGAAAGCAGTATAATAAAAGAGTAGATGTATTTTTCCCAGTGGGCAGAGGGCCCAGGTAGGGCAAGGCACAGTGGCCGGAGTCAAAAGAGCAGATGAAGGAGGAGAGGGTCAGCGTTTGACGCTTGCAGAATTCTGGGAGAGAAAGGTCCTATTCCATGAATCTCGGTGCTGCACGTTTGTGTCACGTACAGGATAGTTGAAGGTTGCCGTTAACGCCTTACAGTCGATGGGAGGCAAGGAGAAGTACAGGATGAGATGTCCACGTCTAAAATTCTGCTGCGTGGAGAGAAACGTTACTTGAAAGTGATTTCAAGACTGTGAGGATGGTTTCTGATTGGTGACTGTACTTCCACTCTCATTACAAATGCAAACACTGCTGCTCTTTAAAGGTGTCCCTGCCAATTTAAATGAATGCAAAGCACTCCTAAAAAATAGCCATGTGTGAGGTTTATACACTGGAAATTCAGTAAAATCTGATTTTGCTGCTCACTTTACCGTTCTTACTAATATTCAGTGAGCACATGGGCATTTCCAAACCCAGTTTTTACAGTTTACAAATTCAGCACTAAAATAAAGAGACTGCATTATGATCATGATCATATAAATCATTGTCTAAATAAATAATGTTGCTAGGAATGTTTACTGATTCACCATATATTGTGGTTTTGATTCAAATAATATCTTTTTATGTACTGTCAGAATGTATTTCCATGACCTTTTTATAATTAAATTCTCATTTTAAGTGTTTACCTACAGTAGCTAAGTCTATAGGTTAGTATCAACTCACTAAAAATAAAATATTGTTCAAGAAGACATTTCTTATAAAGACTTAGTGCCTACTACATTCTGATCAAGTGAAGGAATATATAATACTATTATATTAGAAATGTAAAAACTCATTAACCTATTTCTAAACGTTTACTTTTCTCATTAACTGCCATTACAAAGAATTCCTTTTTAGTAGAACATCACCAAAACGAAGTTATTTAAAAATAATTCTCAGCATAAAAATATCTTAAAGTTTTGAAGTTTTACTTGAATGTTACATTTCAGACAATATTTTATAAATATAGACACCAAGAAGTCTCACTTAAGCTGGAAGAGGATAGTTCTAATGGAAGAAGGATGAGAGAGAGAGGAAAGAGGAAAGCTAAGGTTTATTTCTAAGATACGAAGTTACAAGTCGTAGCACAGCGTCCAGAATATAATGTTAATTTAAAGTAAAGATAACAGCTCAAATAACCTCAATTTCTATCCCTACCCGCTCTACCTACAGCTCACAGTTTTTGTGTAAGTAACCATAATGAAACTTGACATCATATATGTTATTTAATTGATTAGATAATTGATATTCATATTCTGGTGTTGGACTTTAAAAAATAATTGCAAGATTGTTTCAATATGAAAATATGCTTTGTATGTTTAAGTATGTATATATACTCTCTGTTGTGCATCTCTGTTGTGAACTCTTAAGCAAAAACTCATCTCTGATGAACTGAAAAATCATTAATCTGACCTTTGACTATACCAAGATTCCATCAATTTGACATGACTACTAATTTCAAAATAGTACTGTGAAAGAAATTACTACAACCTTTTGACTCCATGTGTGTTGTACGTTATATAGAAGGGACATCAAAACATTTGTGGAAAAGGAATTAAAATGCTAGTTTTTATCTGGTACAGATTTTTTGAAATCCATACTTTTTTCCATAATATTTTCCATGAACTTTTGAAGAGCCTCTCCAAATATATATATATATATATATATATATATATGTGTGATATATATATATGTGTGTGTGTGTGTGTGTGTGTGTGTGTACAATATTTTAAAAATATGTATTGAACTATTTTTATATGCTCAGTTCTCATTCAGGGAATAGTTAATAGTAAGCCACTTTGTATGAGTAAAAGTAATTTGTTTTCTAAAGCTAACATTTTATTTATAATAGTCATGGTTATCTTGTGTGAGTTAGAAGCAATTGCATATAACAGAAATCTACTTCCTTTTTGATTTTCTAGCAGTGCTGATATATTTGCTGACATGTGACAGTTTCAAAATTATAAGCCACTCAATGAACCAGATGCAATATTCATGTAGATTTATCTGCACTTGTCTGTTTGAATCATACCCATATTCAGAAAAGCATTCATGTTTCATTTTCCAGTACTATATTGTACAGAATTCCTTTGTATTCTCTCAGGCCATTGTTCTTCATGATATATGTGGTCTGTATCCAGGTAAGAAATGATTACTTTTATATTAAATTTTAAAAAGTGACACTAAAACTAGTCTCTGTTTTTTTATACTAAAAATAATAGTGTTCACAAATACCATTTGCTTTTGAAAAGATGAAAAGAGAAACTTAACCTGCAATTAGTTCTTTTGAGAAAGAAAAAGAAG